AAAATGCCCCCCAAGAACAAGCAGAACTGAAGACACTTGCAGTAGAGGCCTGGCAGAGCATCACCAGGGATGAAACCCAGCGTCTGGTGGCGTCTATGCGTTCCAGACTTTAGGCTGTAATTGACTGCAAATGATTTGCAACCAAGTATAAAAAAGTGAAAGTTTGATTTATGATTATTCTGTCCCAATACTTTTGGTCCCTTAACAAGTGGGAGGCACATATGCAAACTGTTGTAATTCCTACACCGTTCACCTGATTTGGATGTAAATACCCTCAAATTAAAGCTGACAGTCTGCAGTTAAAGCACATCTTGTTCGTTTCATTTCAAATCCATTGTGGTGGTGTATAGAGCCAAAAATGTTAGAATTGTGTCGATGTCCCAATATTTATGGACCTGACTGTTTATTCCTGCGCTTGGGGATGGACTCCACAAAGGCTACAACCACATATCAACTGCCTTGGAAAGTGCAGCCTTGCTGCTCTCAAAGGACCGGGGAAGCCCAAACGCACTGGATGCAAAGAAAAACAAACAGAGGGCGCACAGGCCTAGTGCATTATCTTTAAAAAAAATTTATTGGTAAAAAGTATTATACTCACAGATGACAATAATCTTAAAGGCACATCATAAAAAAACAGCACTGTCTAATCCACATTTAGTGATGTCCGCAATGGGAACCCTGGACCTCCAACAGGCTAATGCGTTTTGAGGACTTGGCTCTGAGGAAAAGGCAAGTCCTCGAAACGCGTTAGCCTGTTGGAGGTCCAGGGTTCCCATTGCGGTCATCACTATGTGTGGACTGGACAGTGCTATTTTTATGATGTGCCTTTGACATTATTGTCATCTATGAGTATAATAATTTTTTTTATCAATAAATGTTTTTTTAAGGTAATGCACTAGGCCAGTGCACCCTGTTTATTTGTTTTTCTTTGCATCCAGTCCATCATGAATGCTGCTGACAGACTCATTCACCTTACCCAACCATTCATTGTCTCCTACCTGTCTTGGAAATTCGCTTTAACAAATTTCTCCTTACCGTGAGTACCCGCAGTTGGATGCGCAGAAATCCCCCATAAAGCTGTGCGAATCTCGCTTACCACGACTGCAGCTAAACTACACAATTCCTGCCCATCCAAATGGATTAGCTTCTGTTGAAATGTGGGTGGTGGAGCTCCCTATACCTGGAAATGATCACACGACACTTTCAGGTTGATGGTTGAATTCACATAAGGGCAATTTTCATTCTCCCCTTTGGTTTTATTACAAATACACACACGCCCCCCCACATGAAATAAGGTCAAACCCCTCCCACAGAACAATGCAATGGGGAGTGCCTATACACAGGATGTACATTCCGATTGGAGCATAGCCTTTCCTATTATCTGTCACTGGTCCTCCCCCATGAGCCTTCTGAGGTCAGCAGACTTCCTCCCCTTCCCCCCATGAGCCCTCTGTGGAGAGCATATCTCTTGTTCCAGCTCCTAGCAGTATGTTCATTCTCTGCACAAGCATTCCCTAGAAATATCAGTCTGTACCTGGATGGGCCCGATACGATCTTTATTAAAACACATCCATCCGGATACAGTTCAGATTGGTAATGGGTTGTAAGATATGCATAAGCCTACACGCGGAGTTCGTACCGCTTGGCGCCTTGCGGCACGGAGTCCATGTGGTACTATGCTGCTGATATGTGGATACAGGCCCGCGGTCTACTGCCAGCGGCATTCGCATCGAATGCCGTGGTGGTATACACGCCGGTCTATAAGTGCAGATCTGCCATCTCATCCGTTACCCGAGCTGAGTACTGTAATACATACATTGTACATGCGCATGGCCCAATTGCAGCCTTCAGAGCTTTAATTAAGCCACACGAGAGACATATGAATAACACGAATATATGACACATTTAAAGTTCGACCAACAATACAAAATTTCCATGACATACCCCACTCTGCTGATCCCTTCACTGGCTTTCACTTGCTCAACGAATAAAAATCAAAATGCTAACAATTTACAAAGCCATCCACAACTGAACCTCCTCTACATCACTAACCTAGTTTCAAAGTACCAACCAAATCATTGTCTTCGGTCCTCCCAAGACTTCCTGCTCTCTATCTCCCTTAGCCCTCCTGTGCTCGCTTTCTCAAGAGACTCTCCCATCCTCATGAACTCCTTGCCCCATCAGTCTGACCATCTCCTACTTTATCCACCTTTTAAGCGATCCTTGAAAACCCATCTCTTTAGAGAATCCTATCCCGCTTCACAAATATATTTTTATTTTCTCCTTCATCTCTTCCTTAACCGTTATTACCTTCTGTATCACTTGACCTTCCCTTTAAGATTGTAAGCTCTAACGAGCAGCGCCCTCTTATTTCTCCTGTATTGAACTGTACTGTCTGCCCTCACTTTGTAAAGTGCTGCACAAACTGATGTTGCTATATAAATCCTGTATAATCGTAATAATACTGCCGCATACAAGAGAAATACACTGGCAAAAAAAAAAAAAAAAATGTAGGTCAAACAAGATAACCCCTCCTACTATTAGCATGCCTTCGTTTTTGTTCGCATTCTGAAAGGATGATCCTTTGATCTTAAAGTTCAGCAATTCTGTATGGAATCCATCGGGGAAGTCAGGCTGGGTACCCTGACTTCCTGACTTCTGTGAACCTCAAAGATGCAACGTCACCATATTTCCAGTGCACCATCTTTCCACCACCAATTCAGCCATTTAGTTGAGAGAGCCCACAGAATTGTCAGCGGAGGGAGTGTGGTGGACCTGCAGTGTTCTCTGAACTACATGGCTGCTCAGGAGACAGGGAAAGCCTGTAATGCTGAAGAGGGTAGCAGGGGATACAAGACCTGTCACCATGTGCAAGCAGTGACTGTTCTTTTTTTACTTCGACACAGGACAACCTTATTCATGACTACAAATGCCTCTTGTATTTAGACAATATTTGTTCATCCTGGAATTCAGCTATAAAGCTGAACTCTGGGATTAAAACAAAAAAAATGATCTTGCAGTGGATTTCCCCCACACTGCAAGGATTGAATGCTTGTTAAGTTTAAGGGGTAGAGGAAAAGGCTGTAGTACTTGCCTTATTCATCACTCAGCTAGCATTCTTCTCTTCACTCCAGTGCTCTGGGTTGTGACGAGCCCTCCTTGTCCTCATATACAATGCAGGACTCTTGGTCCTGCATTGTATGTGATTACATCAGAATGCAATCCCCAGGCAGAGCGCCTTAGTGAAGAGGCTTCAGGTGACCGGTCACACAGCATAAAGTAAAGCTGCTGTAGTGAGGAAAAGGGTAAGTACTACAGAATACTCCTAGCCCTAGATTGTGACCAGCATTTAACTCTGCAGGGGTAATTTTTCTGCTGCCTAGCTTTTTTTTTTATTATTATTATTATTATTTTCCTGCAAAGACACTTGTGTTACATTACCTACTAAGATTTAAGTTTTGACTCCAATTTTGGTCCTTCTCTTAACTAATGCATTGTTTCCTTTTCTGCAGAATCTCGTTGTTCGAATGACAGATGATACCGATCTTTTCTTTTTGTATAATCTTGTTGTTTCTGAAGATGATTTTCAAAGTCTAAAGCTACAGCAGGGTCTGCTGGTAGACTATACAGCATTTCCTCAAAGGTTTATTGATTTGCTGCATCAATGTGTTAATGAGGAGAACAAAGATGCACCTAGGTAAGGAACTGGGTGGCGTCTATTTAACTTTGCAAGCTGCGTGAGTCATTGCTAAAGTCTTTCATAGTCCCTTTTTTTTGTCTAAATTATTTTGATTTCTTTTTCTGGGGGGGGGGGGGGAGAAAACATTGGTGGAAGCGGTATGAAGATTAATCAGAGCTATAAAATGCCAAATAGGGCATTTTGTACCAAATGGGGTAATATAGCTACAGACACCACCTGATAAAAATTAGGACTAATGAACCTGGTGTCAGAAGTCTGCAAGAAAGCGTAACAGGGAAAGAAGAGGGTGGTTGGAAGGGAAGGAAAAAGTAGGTAATGTGGGATGGACGGTGAGTAGGTTAAAACTGTAAAGGGATAAAAGGGGTTTTTTTTTTTTTTGCCATTGTTGTCATTTTATGCCTGAAGATTAGTTAAAACCCCCAATCATTACATATTTTCTGAAAGCACCCTGCACATATTTGGTACCCTGTGTTTTCCATAGGTGTCATTTGAAGCCTCTACAGTTCATCACTTTAAAGTTAGCTGAAAATGATGACCCTAGGATTATTCCTCTCATCACAACATGTGTGGCGATATGTAGCGTGTAGTGCAAGTAAAGTTTTTGTACATAGGTGCTCTGATGGCTGTGTTTTCATTTATGTGTATGGGGGGAAGCGGGATGGGGGGGGGGTATTCTTAGTGTTTGGTTGTAACTTTATTTTTTTCACACTTTTCACTAAAATCTTGTCATGTAGGGGCCAAAAGTCCCCTATGTGATGTGTAATAACTTTGTGTTAGGTTCTTTATCATGAGACATTAGGGTTCTTTTAGACCTCTGATGTCTTATCTGCCATTCATCTAAACTAATGGATTGCAGTTTGCGCCACTCGGGGGTCACAGAGTGAGTTTTGGTGGCTGTTTTCTAAATGCAGCTAAACTGGCATAATGTTTACCTTATCCTGTTCCAGGAGCAGCTGCATCCATTGCTGTTATTTCTAGTCATACATTTCCCTGCTGAACTAAGTGGAATACCAGTTAGATTAAACATACAATTTATACTTTGGAAATGGTTCGAGGCAATGGCCCCGTAAATATTGTTAGATTTTATTCTTTAAGATGTTTAATGAGCATAAGTTTATGGAAGTCAGGTGTTCCTTATTATACATCTAGCTCAGATCTCTTAAGAGTGCTACTTCTGTTACATGACTTGGGGATACTTTGTAAAATCAGAAAATGACTTATGATATATATTTGCAGGTTCCTTCTACAGTTGTCTTATACAGGCCTGTTTTTGGGAAGTTCACCTGCACAGCTGGATGTGGTTGAGACTAATTCTTTTAAACATCTGACGCACCTTTCCCTACGCTTCCAGCCAGCGAATGATGTAGAAGTTAAGACATACCTAGCAACATGCTTAAGATGTATTAAGGTAGCTCTTTGAACTCATCATAATGCTGAGAGACTTTGCAATTCAATTTTGTATTTTCTTCTAAATGTTTCTTCTTGTACAGGAAGAAAAATGTATATTACAGCAAACATTGAAGAAAACAGAGGAAGATCTGAACCGGCAACTAGTCTGTGCTCAGCAGGTGGTTATTTTACTAAAAGAGATCATGTATTCAAAAAAAAGCAGCAGCTGGTAAAAAATGAATGTTTGTGATGAGTGTGTGCGAATCCTACAGAAGACTGGAAGGATGCTCAAGTAATCAGTGGACTTCCTAATGTTATATTTAATTTGGCAGCAGCAATCTGAATATGCATTATTATTTTAGTGATTACCTTCAGTTCTGCTTTAATAAAAAGTTTTCTTAAACTTGCCACCACTGTGATCCTCACCGATCTTATTTAGTATGTCTCTTCTGCATTGAAAAGTCATCTTTCTAGTTCCACTATAGATAACAATGTAGTTATTATAAGTTAATTTTCAGTCACTGTTGTGTTTTAGTTTGGAGTAGAATGGGAAAGGTTTAGAGCATCTATTTTTTCTTTATATTCCTTTTTCAGTGATTACACAGTAAAGGAAGGGAATTAAACCCCCTGTCCACTCTATCTAAAACAAAAGAATTTAGCTGAATTTGGGCTTTAAAGTTCAACTGAAGGCTATTATTTTTTTATTATTCACACATAAATAGTAAGCATCAATTAATTATTACCTGATTAATACATATAATTGACCTGTCCCCCCTCCCTTTTGCTTTTGCCACTGAATGCTGATAATGATAGTGGGAGGAGTATAGCAGAGCTAGCACTATTTACTATTACTGTACTAGCCTCTGCTTCTCCCATAGGGAAATACAGTTTGCAGAATTTTACTGGCCAACACCTCCGATCAGGCAGGACCTTTTTTGCAGAACAAAGTCTTGTTTGACAGCTGGGTGTGTAATATGCAAAAACAGACTTGCCCTTATCAGAGGTATGTGGCTTTGTATGTGTTGGGCAGGTTGTAGGGTGCAGGTTGGAGTTCAGCAGGGAATGGGCGTGCTACTTTGAAGAGGAGAAGGCAGTGTGTCGCTGAGCATTTTAAAAATTGAGACCACTGACATCCCTGCATCATGCTGTATTTTGAAAGAGAACAGTGAAGGCATATAGTGACTACAGCATGTTCAGGGCTATTGCAGAAGAGTGGCCTTTGCAATAGGGGAAGTGGTAAAACAATCTTAGTAAGGTATTTGATTCAGGCAGGTAGTGACACTGCATGATATGTCATGCAAACAGAACGGGCTTTGCATTAAATTACTGTATAACAATAACATATTTTGTTTTGCCTACAGTTTGCCTACAGTTCTAATTAAAGTATATCTTGGAAAAGGAAAACTGAATGTTGGTACATGTATATATGAACTGTTAGACTGGCTTGTTTGGTATTGGTAGGTTGTTTTGTAGCATTTTGTCATGTCATAGGTATAGGGTCAGTACTCTTATCTTTTTACAGGTGTTTCATAGCAGTGCAGATATGCTATAGAAAACCATTTCACTTACAAAACAAATGGCAGCAGCGGTTTTATAAGGGTGTAGGGTACATAGACAATTATTCATCCTGATATTTAAAAAGCAACTCTGGAAAGCAGCTTTTACATCTGAGCTGTTCTATTGCAATTTTAGAAAATTGGCACCTCCTTTCTATTCTAAATGGTAAATGCTCACTTATAGCACACATTACTTAAAATGTAGGTTACTAAACCCCAAGACATTGCAAAGTGATGTGTGTGCTGGTGACTGCATAGAAATAGAACAGGTTTTCTGTTCCACTGACTAGACATAACACTTACACAGTCTCTAAACACATTGGCTGGCTACACACCTAAATTACCACTAACACACAGTTGTGGTAGCTTATTTCCAAACTTTCTGCTCCCTAAGATGAGGAACGATAGATAAGTCAGTAGTAATTTACAGTTTCTACACCTTTGTTTTACCACCTGGAGGATTTTAGACCTTGCATTCACAATCTTTTTATTGTGTTTAAGTTTTTGGGAGCTCACAGAACTCTGTTAATTTGAAGAGCTGCTGGTCTACTGTATAACAGTTTTGTTGTTGAAACAGATCTTCTGTATTTACTCTAAACACATTGTGTGTGGTTTTTTTTTTTTTATACAGGCTTTGTCGGATAAAATTAATGAACTGGAAAAATTGAAAAGTGACTCTTCCGTCAAGATTTGTGAACTAAACAGCCAGTATACGACAGAGATCACAAGTGAAAAAGGAAAAGCTCATCAGGTGAAATAAGCAAGCCCCTTTAAACAAATTCTGTTTGTATTACTGTGTGTCTGTGTCTCTGTGTGTCTGTCTACCGGGACCCAGAAGTCCTTCCATTCCTATGCGTTTAGCACCTTGAACCCTTGTGTGGGAAAGGAGTGCCCTGAGTCATTCTAGTCTTTTTGCCTTCCAGCACACCAGCTAGTCCCCAATGCCCTGAGAATTTTCTCCTATAAGTCATTGGCACAGACATAAAGAGCTGCAAGCACTGCCTTAGAAATTGCTTCCACACAATGCTCCCTTCTGCACCCCTGCTATGGATGTCGCTACATTAGAGCACAACTCTGTCATGCTCTCAAAAGTAGCCACTTCTCCCATTTTTTGAGTTTGGATTCCTTATCTTCAGAAGCCACAGCCTTTTATTTTTTTTTCATCCACTGAAGGAAACAGGAAGTTCTTTAACCTTCTTCAGGTTATTCTGCTGCTTACAAGACGTTTGGATACTGGCAAATAAAGTGTAGGCCAATCCAAGATAACCCCTCCTACCACCAGACTGTCTTTGTTTTCTGTCAGTGTCCTAATAGGATGCATGTATCTTTGCTTCAGCTGTGCTGTTTTGACTGATTGCAGCTGTCTGGCATGGCTGTTCTCAGCCTGGCTTTTAGAGTACTATATTCAGACCCTGCTGCACTGGAATTTACGGGAATAGCCTGGAAGTGACCTTCAGGCACTGACTGCTATGTGGGGCATTTTCCAGACTCTTTTCTGGTAAAAGTCAGTTGGGAAGTGCTTTCCATGTCTAGAGCCACTGCTCCAGCCAATGGCTCCTGCTGCTGTCTCAGCCAACAGGGAGGGAGAGTCCCTGGAGAACTGGCGCACTCATACACAACGCTGTATCGCATTGAGGCTCGGGTAAGTATTAGGGGGCTGCTACACATGGAAGGTTTTTGTTTTGTTTTGTTTTTTACCTTCATGAATAGAATGCATGAAGGTAAAAAAAAACCTAGAGACTTTACAACCACTTTAAATCACAGCCACTAGTGGTAACCAGGAACAACTTGTATACAGCAATGACAGATGCAAGCACATAGCTAGGCCTGGCTACTGGAAATAGGATTATCTTCCATAAGGGTAAACTATCACATTGGCATTTTTCAGTAATCTGAGACTGGTACTAATGTATACATTTATTGAAAGAACTTGCTGAATCTCATTTGGTAGATAAGTCTATGACCTCCTAATTTAAATAGCTGGAGGTTACAATTTTGTACATGACATTTGAGTACAATCCTTAAAGTGATTCTAAAGGAAGAACATTTTTTTTACCTTGATGCATTCCCTGCTCCAGTGGAAGTATTGCCCCCTCACCCCTCTTCCCCTTTATACTTACCTGAGATCTGTCTCGATCCAGCACTGTGCCTGTCTGTAGCGTCATTAATCTCTCTCTTCTTACAGGATGGAGAGGCAGCAGCGGAAGCTATTGACTCCCGCTGCTGTCAATCATATCCTGTGAACAGAGTGAGGGTGGGGCCGAAGGTGCACCCCCATAGGAAGCTCTTTCATATGCAAGCACACTAAGAAGAGGGGGATCCTGGAGCACTTGCAGGGGACCCCAGAAGAGAAGGTTCACTCTGGAATACCATTGCACAGAGCAGGTGCAAATTTAAGGCAAAAAAGGCAAACTATCATGGTTGGCAGACCTTTGCAAAAACTACCTAAAATGGGGGATTTTAAGCTGAATTCCAAGTTTACTGTCCCTTTTAAGGATAAGTTCACCTTTGGAACAAGTTGCATGTTCCACCTGTATTCAGACTAGAACATGTAACATGTTCCAGCTCCTACCTCCTCCTTCAATGTGCTGATTGCAGGTGCAATGCCTTACCGGGTGCAGTGTAAAAAAAAAAAAAATATATATATATATATAAATGCAGATTTTTTTTACCTGTAAAAAAGATGTGCATGGATTATTTTCTTGTAAAAGGTGAACTTATCTTTTAACTACTTTGTATGGGTCATACAGTTTATACGCTGCGCTGTATGAACTATATGTAGTCTCAGCTACATACAGTTGCAAGAAAAAGTATGTGAACCCCTTGGGATTACGTGGAGTTTTGCATGAATTGGGCATAAAATGTGCTCTGAACATCATCTAAGTCACAACAATAGAAGAACACAGTCTGTTGAACATAATACTACACTAACATTAGATGTTGCCATGGTTTAATTGCACATAACATGTAAACATTCACAGTGCAGGGAGGAAAAAGTATATGAACCTTTGGACTTCATAACTGATTGACCCTCCTTTGGCAGCAATAACCTCAACCAAACGTTTCCTGTAGTTGCAGATCAGACCTGCACAACGATCTGGAGTAATTTTGGACCACTCCTCTTCACAAAACTGTTTCAGTGTAGCAATATTCTTGGGATGTCTGGTGTGAATCGCTCTCTTAAGGTCATGCCACAGAATTTCAATCGGGTTGAGGTCAGGACTCTGACTGGGCCACTCCAGAAGGCGTATTCTGTGCCGTTGCAGCCATTGTTTTGTTGAATTACTTGTATGCTTTGGGTCATTGTCCTGCTGCATCACCCATCCTTTGCGGAGCTTCAGTTGGCGGACAGATGGTCGTACGTTTTCCTGCAAAATGTCTTGATAAACTCTGGAATTCATTTTCCCATCAATGACAACAATCCGTCCAGGCCCTGAGGCAGCAAAGCAGCCCCAAACCATGATGCTCCCTCTGCCATGTTTTACAGTGGGGATGAGGTTTTGATGTTGGTGTGCTGTGCCTTTTTTTTCTCCACACGTGTTGTGTGTTCTTACCAAACAACTCAATCTTGGTTTCATCTGTCCACAGTATATTTTGCCAGTAGTGCTGTGGAACATCCAGGTGCTCTTTTGCAAACTTCAAATGTGCTGCAATATTCTTTTTGGACAGCAATGGCTTCCTCCGTGGTGTCCTCCCGTGTACTCCATTCTTGTTTAATGTTTTCCTTATTGTAGATGTGTCAACAAAAATGTTAGCATGTGTCAGAGATTTCTGTAGGTCTTTAGCTGACACTCTGGGATTCTTCTTTACCTCATGCAGCATTCTGCGCTGTGCTCTTGCAGGTATTTTTACAGGACGACCACGTCTAGGGAGAGTAGCAACAGTGCTAAACTTTCTCCATTTGTAAACAGTCTGTCTTACCGTGGACACATGAACATCAAGGCTTTTGGAGATACTTTTGTAACCCTTTCCAGCTTCATGCAAGTCAACAATTCTTGATCGTAGGTCTTCTGAAAGCTCTTTTCTGCGAGGCATGGTTCACATCAGACAGTGCTTCTTGAAACCAGTAAACCCAAAACAGGTGTGTGTTTTTTAAGGGCAGGACAGCTGTCAGCAACACATCCAATATCATCACACTGATTGGAGTCAAGGTTGGCTCACTCCTGGCTCCAGTTAGCTCTGGGAGAAGTCATTAAGCTAGGGCCTCACATACTTTTTCCTCCCTGCACTGTGAATGTTAACATGTTATGTGCAATTAAACCATTGCAGCATCTAATGTTTGTGTAGTATTATGTTCAGCAGACTGTGTTCTTCTATTGTTGTGACTTAGATGACGTTCAGAGCACATTTTATGCCCAATTCGTGCAAAACTCCACGTAATCCCAAGGGGTTCACATACTTTTTCTTGCAACTGTACAATATACAAGTCTTGTGTTCTGGCAGTGAGTCGAGAACGTCTGGTCTGACACCTGGAACTGAAGAGAGTTGGGCTGAGCGACACTCAGCCATTCATAGGCAGCTTTGTATTTGAATGAAAAACAAAGCTTCCTCTGATTTGCTGAGGCCAAGAGATGATGTTAAAATCTGACTCAGAGAATACAAAGCTGCCTATGAACGACTGAATGCTGCTCAGCCTCACGTATTATGTTCCAGGTGTGAGATGAGAAGTTCTGGTGTTCCTGCCGAAACTCGAGGGTACTACGAGAGCACTCACCAGTGCCCTCATAGATCATTGAGAACTACAAACTGTCAGCTGAAATGGCTGACAGGGCTTGTAGTCTATCTAGTCATAGAAAACTGAGTGAATGAGGCAGCCATGTGTCTTGGAAATTCGCTTTAAACGAATTTCTCCTTACCGTGAGTACTCGCAGTTGGATGCGCAGAAATCCCCCATAAAGCTGTGTGAATCTCGCTTACCACGACTGTAGCTAAACTACACGATTCCTGCCCATCCAACTACTTTTAGCTTCTGTTGAAATGTGGGGATGATGGAGCTCCGTTACCCTAGAAACAGGGGTAGGCAACCTGAGAGCCACAGGACTACAAGTTCCATCATGCCTCTGCAAGTCATAGCTGTAACTGTCAGTTTTGTCATCTTTGCAATGCCTCATGGGAAATGTAGTTCCACAACAGCTAGAGAGCCGCAGGTTGCCTACCCCTGCCCTAGAATGATGATCAAACCACACTCTCAGGATGATAGTTGAATTCACATAAGGGCTGGTTTCAGACTCAGCCCCTGGTTTTATTAAAAATACACACATGCCCCCCACATGAATAAAGTCAATCCCCTCCCACCGAACAATGCAATGGGGAGTGCCTATACACAGGATGTACATTCCGATTGGAGCATAGCCTTTCCTATTATCTATCACTGGTCCTCCCCCATGAGCCTTCTGAGGTCAGCAAACTTTCCTCCCCTTCCTCCCCATGAGCCATCTGAGGTCATATTTCCTGTCCTACTAGCTCCCATTGGCATGCAAATCCCTTGTACAAGTATTCCCTAAGCTAAACACCAGTCTGTACCTGGATGGGCCCGGTACGATCTTTATTAAAACACATCCATCCAAGATACAGTTTCAAGTTGGTAATGGGTTGTAAGATATGCATAAGCCTACACGTGGAGTTCACACCGCTTGGCGCCTTGCGTTATGAAGCCCATGTGGTACTATGCTGTGATATGTGGATACAGGCCCACGGTCTACTGCCAGCGACATTCGCATCGAATGCCGTGGTGGTATACACGCCGGTCTATAAGCGCAGATCTGCCATCTCATCCATTACCAAGCTGAGTACTGTAATACATACATTGTACATGCGCATGGCCCAATTGCAGCCTTCAGAGCTTTAATTAAGCCACACGAGAGACATATGAATAACACTCATATATGACACATTTAAAGTTCGACCAACAATACAAAATTTCCATGACACATGTGGGCAGGACCCAGACAGCAACACTGTTATTAAATTGTGACAGCAGATGCAAGGAGAAGATCTTCTGCCTGCTGTCACAGAGAGGGTGGGTGATCATGGGGAGAGGGTGCATATACTGGAACATGTTCCAAAGGTGAACTTTTCCCATTTAATACTAAGCTGACTAACCTTGAACTAGTACGCAGCCAGATAAATTGGTCAAAACTCCTGATCCTGGGAAGTGTCTCAAACTATTGAATTTATTGAACTAGCCTGATAGGCAGACATCCAGCAATTTAGGAGTAACCATAATCTGTATATTTTACTTGGTACAATCTACCACCTTGGAATGTTGTCTCTTGCTTTATATGTTGTAGTGTTAATGCTGTGTATAAATCTAAAATAAAATGCTAAAATATAAATGCATATAAAAATAACTGTGTGGACTTTACAGTGACATTGTGTGTGTTAGATTTACACACCCCAACACTTTGTGTACAAATGGACACACTTTTTTTTTTTTTGGTACCGGTATGTGTATAAATTTAGAAATATGCAATTAAGCTAAAGATACAGTTTTTTATTTTTATGTGATAACTTTTCAGGCATATACCCAGCTACTTCAACAGTATGAGCAACAAAGGAGAGAGTTTGATTGCTCACTTCAGAAAAGCACTCAGCAGCTGCAAAGTCGAGTGAGTGAGCTGGAACTATCCAACAAAGAACTTCTTGAAAGGAGATACAAAGCAGAATCCACTGTCCGAGAACTGCATTCCAAGTTTCAAGGATTAGAAGAGGTAACAAGTACAGACTTTAAAGCTGTCATGTAAATTATTTATCTGCATATAACCTTTGAAGTGTAGTAATTGGGCGATATACTGTACTTTTTCCTTTATTACCAAAAGCTTTTGTTTTTGTCTCCTTTTGGAGAGATTACCTTTTACTTTTCTGTGACAACTTGCTTGTGAAGGCAATGAAGAGAAATCCTCCTATGAGATCAGACAACCGTAAACTACTACTAATCCTTCATTTTCTTCTTGAAGAGTGCCTTTCACTTATGTAAAATTACATAGGGGGATTAAAATATGTATTAAAAAATACATCATGTAAGAAAAAAATGACCCCCACTAAATACTTAGGTCACATGTACATATCATAAATATCCAATTGCTTGACACATATGCACATGCATGCCAGAGGTAGAAGAGCAAATAAAGGACAGTCATTTAGGTTTAATTTAACCACTAGCCTACAGGGCACTTTCACCCCCTTCCGGCCCAGACCAATTTCCAGCTTTCAGCGCTGTCACACTTTGAATGACAATTGCGTGGTCATGCAACACTGCACCCATATGAAATTTGTATCATTTTATTTGAGACAGATAGGTCTTTCTTTTGGTGGTATTTAATCACCTCTGGGATTTTTATTTTTTCTTAAACCAAAAACCACAGAAAATTTAAAAAAACTTTTTTTCTTAGTTTTTGTTATACAATTTTGTAAATAAGCGATTTTTCTCCTTCACTGATGTGCACTAATGAGGCTGCAGTGATGGGCACTGATAGGCTGCACTGATGAGGAGGCACTGGTAGGTTGCACTGATGGGCATTGACAGGCATCACTGATAGGCAGCATTGATACATGGCACTGTTAGGCGGCACTGACTGGCACTGTTAGGCGGCACTGACTGACACTGTTAGGGGCATTGACAGGCAGGCATCAGGCATCACTGATGGGCACTGAAAGGCAGCATTGATACATGACACTGATATATGGCACTGATGGCGGCACTGTAGGTTGCACTGATAGGCGGCACTGGTAGGTTGCACTGATGGGCATTGACGGGTATCACTGAGGGTCACTGAAAGGCAGCATTGATATATGGCACTGTTAGGCGCCACTGACGGGCATTGACAGGCATCACTGATGGGCACTGAAAGGCAGCATTGATACATGACACTGATATGGCACTGGTAGGTTGCACTGATGGGCATTGACGGGTATCACTGATGTTACTGAAAGGCAGCATTGATATATGGCACTGTTAGGCGCCACTGACTGGCACTGTTAGGCGCCACTGACTGGCACTGTTAGGCGCCACTGACTGGTGACATTGAAAGGCTGCTCAGATGGGCACTGATATGTGGCATTGATGTGGCACTTTTGGGGCCACACTGATCATCAGTGCCCTGATGATCAGTGTACATGTCCCCTCCGCGGAAAGCCGATTACCGGCTCTCCTCTCCTCTCGAGCTGTCAGCGTGACAGCTCGAGAGGAGAGAAATGCCGATAACCGGCATTTCCGTGTTTACATGTGATCAGCTGTGATTGGACACAGTTGATCACATGACTGAGCTGACATCTTCGGCTCTTTCCGTGATCCACTGTGTCCAAGGGACACAGCGCACCGGCGATCACCGCGCTGCATGCTCCCTGAGCCACGCATGCGCGGTGAGAATGGAAGGACTTCATATGACATCCTATCAGAACGAGAGAACCACCTTGCGCCAGTCATTGTACTATATGGCAGGTGGAAGGTGGTTAAAGGGTATTAAACCCAAAAGCAAACATTTGTATATTGCAGCTTACCAATTCTTGGATGTGATGGCTGCATTTGTTTTCTTTTTTAAGCTTCATTTTCTTTCAACTGATGATTCAGCCAGTAGGTCTTTTTTTTTTTTTTCAACAGAACAGGCTGCCCTGCAGATGTAGCAGTTTAGAGGGTTGAGACAACCATTTACTACTGACAGGGGTACTTACAATGATCAGCTATTATTTATTCATGTAAAACCTTTATCCCAAAATAATAAAACGTTCTATAACTTGTAAAGTGTGAGCTGGAGTTTGGCTTCAATTTGTTGGTGTATCCAAATTTGCTAGTGCATCTAACACTCCCATCATTACACTGGCCTGGGCTCAGAGTACTACTACCAAAGCCAACTGTGCTCATCCTATATACAGTATGTGCACGTAGCCTTTGTGTTCTGCTGCAGCAAAGGTGTAGGCTAGCCCAGGACAAACACTTCTGTCACTAGCATTCCTCAGTAGCATAGCAATACCAATCATATACACAGAGAGTCTGGATCTGTGTCCCTCCATGGACTTAAAAAAGAGAGGATTTTACAGTGATTTGCAAAAATCCTTTTTTTTTTTTTTTTTTTATTGATGGACACAAGAAGTCTTTAACCTTCAGGATGTCCAAAAGCTATCCAGCTGAGGCATGGGCAACATGGGAAACAAACTCTATCAGTCACAAGAAAACAGAGATCCAGAAACTGCCTGCAGCTCAAAAGACCTGAAGGACCTTATGCCTGAAGATGGCATCAGATCAGTTGAAATATTCACTTGTTAGGATTTAGAAGACGTGAACATAAGACCAGATGGCAACCAAGCAGTTGCTTGATGCTGAAGAGCCCAAGGAGTACTCACAGTTCTAGTAGAGTGCACATTAACAGAAATGGGTAGAACCCGATACTTAAGCCCATAAGCTTGAATGATGGTCTGTCTGAGCCATCTAGAGATGGTGGAAGGAGAAGCTGGTGCATCCCTATGTGGTCCATCCTGAATGACAAAAGGGGAATCTGCCTTTCTGAAAGAAGCAGTGGCTGAAAGACTGAAACACATCCAACAATGGAGGGAAATTTCCTTCTGGTGAACTGGAGCTTGACGAGAGGGATCGAAGAACTATGTCCTGATTGAGTTGGGTAGTTTTATGTTTTGGGCCATATCTCTATCTTAACACCACCTCTGTAGTACAGGAAGGAAACTCTTCATCCTACAGAAAAACTCCTGAGTTGGAAGTCCTGAGACTGACGCCAAATAAAGTATGCCTTCCGTGTCCGATGATAAACGTTGCAAAATTTTTCTTAGCTTTGAGCATCAAATGTACACTCCAGTACCTCTGTCCCTTGGAACCTGGGCCATGCCGTAATTGCCAGTAACCGAAAAGCTGGTTGGCAAATTGGTTCATTAGACAGAAGATCTTGACAATCAAGCAGGGCCTGTGGAGTGTCACTCCAAAAACCATGGTTATTTTAAATGCTATAATGTTATAGCTGTTAAATTTAAGAGTTTGCGAACTTCATCAGAGAAGTGGAAATTCATTTTATACAGCATAGGTCTCTTTAAGAGATTTGCAGGGCGTAGTCAAGAAAGAGACAACTTTTGAAATGCTATTGAGAGAACACAAACCCTACGTCCTGACGAAGCTAAGCTATCCAAAACCACGGCGATGTCTATATGGTGTTGGTGGATATATCAGAATACTTTGTAAGTTCCACCTAGCGAAACACTAGCAGTGATTGCGAGGATCGGTAGAAGATCTGCCATTTAGATGTACTTTCCCACACAGGCATCTTACAACACATCTACGCTGCCACAGATTTAACGGCCCAATGCTGACAGCTGCATAGAAGTCAAACACACAGAGGCATATGGAAACGCACAACGCCACCCCGTCAGAGAGAGACTAGAGCCATGTCAGTGTTTACAGCACTGCACTTTGTATAAGCTTGTCTTCATACATGGGTTCTACAAGAGATGCAGTTTCCCCATTAAGAGGCAGACACAACACATATTCCATCATAGTGACCATCGGCTGCATCTGTGGAACTTTATATATTTTATTCCTTGAGTAGCCCTACATCTTCAAGGGAGCTTTGAGTTTATCTAGCAATCCACTAAGATTAGCCTACATTACAAAGTAACGAGATCTATGCTCCCAGTGGAGATATATGCTTGAACCCATTATTGGGTGAGACTAATTACATGAACTAATCATCTGGTTATATCTGCAGTTGGTTTATTCCTTTTCATGTGCAGGGTTGAGTAGGGTTGAGTATCTACTATTAGCCATTCGATATGTACAACTCTATGATGGTTTATGTAAGCAAGTAACCACCTTTCGCTATATGTAACGAGCATTACAGCAATCAAGCTCCTAAGGGTTAAATCATTAATCACTCGGCAATCTCCAAAACTAAAGACTCACATAGTGAATACCCAATTTATAATCCCAAGAAAAAGTCACACTTTCACCCTTGAAAGTAAATAATATTCAAACCTTTTTATTATCCTTAACTCAAATTATTAAATCAGACTGTGAAATTAAATATAAATATAGTCCCAGAATATATTTCCAAGTCCAACAAAATCTTTCAATCCTGTGTGTCCAACTTCAATATTTCCATCACTCCAGACCCAGTGAATACCTTGAAAAACAAAAATAGATTCAACTGTGAGTAAACAGGAATCGTGCAAATCACTCTGTGTATACAATATAATAAACTAATAATTAGTGACAAGCTGTGTACACTCCAAAAATAAATAAATAAAATAAAAAAATATAAATACAAACATAAACAAACCAAGCTAATTAAAATTTCACCAACAAAAATAATAAAAAATTAAAATCTATAAATAAAATATAAAGGTGAACACTTCTATAGGGCAAGAATGCATACAATTACCCTCATTATTTGAAGGTAATACACTATTTTAGTTTTATTTTATCGAGGCATTCACTGGGTCCGGAGTGATGTAAATATTGAAGTTGGACACACAGGATTGAGAGATTTTGTTGGACTTGGAAATCTATTTTGGGACTATATTTTATATTTAATTTCACGGTCTGATTTAATAACTTGAGTTAAGGATAAGAAAAAGGTTTGACTATTAAGCTCCTAAGGGTGTCAATTATATAGCTATTGATACTACACCCTTCTAATAGAGCTGTAATTGGGCATTGTCTGTCTGGGTCTCTTTATATGGTGCTATATACATGACATATACTAGAACTGTG